GGTTGGAAAAGTGGGGGTCGTCTTGTACATGGGGGCATCTTATTGATGGAAAAATACAGTAATAAGGATGCATTTCATTAAAACCCAAAGCAGTGATAGCTCAAATCTAACAACAATGACAGATTATTTAGAAAGAAAATCCAGGTTTCCCAGAATTTTTTTTAAAATATTGGTTACATTACATAATGTCATAACTATTTTTCACATTTACCTTTTAGAATGTGATCAAAATGAGTGAGAATATTTAAACTAGTCTTTGCTAACTTGGCAGTTCCAGATGTGTTGGATTACAGTTTCATAATCCTTGGCATAACAATGCTGACTAGCATGATGGATGATAAAGCATCTGGAAGGTGTCAGATTTTTTAAAAGCTGGTTTATAATATCTACTTTGGTTTTCTTATTTTTTTCCCAGAGAAGGTCAGGGGATAAGGAATTCAGAATGCAAGGGGAAGCCTACATTTCCTGTTAGCGGTTAAGGCTATAAATGTGTCACTGTCAAGACTTTAAGAGTAGGAACTGGATGTAAAGAATAGATGTAGTCTACCAATGGTAACCCACTTGCTTAAACAACTTCTGTCCATGTAACTAATGTGGAAGGAATATGTGTTCCCATCCCATTCTTTACTGTGACCTGGGCTTAGGCCAGTGACGGTGAAACCTTTGGGCTCAGTGTGTCAAAAATTCAGGAAATGCCTAACTTGACTCTGCTGGCATTTCCCAAATTTCGGGCTCCCCCCCAAACAAAAGAGAAGCGATTCTTTACATATTCATTTATTAAAAAAAAAACAGTCCAATCATGTGTGGTGTTATGTATTATATAAAGAAACGTCAAATAATTACAAAAATGAAATACACGTAAAACAAACTCAGTTTCTTTGGTAACTCAAACAGGGAGAATAGTTGTTGTCATGTGTTGGTGAACACTGGTGTGTCACCCAAAACATTGTGGCGTGTCATCTTTGACACACGTGTCATAGGTTCACCATCACTGGTTTAGGCCATCCTTGAGCTAACTGGATGCAAAGGGGGAATGCTGCCTCCCAACTAGGGCCCCTGGTGGTTATGCATGACAAGTATCTCACCACTGAGTGAAAAGGACAGTGTGGTGACTATCTTCCACCATAGTTAAAGGCTATGATTTTGTCTGTGTGTTGTTCTAAATTTTCTTCTATCTCTTTAGGATTCTCAAGAACAATCACTTGAGCGGACTGAGCAATAAGTCTCTGGATGGCTTGCTTTCACTCACACACTTGTAAGTTTGTTTCTAGCAGTATCTTTCTTGCTATCTCCCATGGGGCTGTCCCACTTACAGCGAGTGAGACTTCTAATGATCAAGTTTCTAACAACTAGGGGCATGCAGTTTTAAAGTTCATACTTTATTCCTATTGTTTCTATGTGCTTGAATGTTTCCTTTTGAAGGAGTGATTGGCTTCCCTGCATTTGAAGCTGTATTCCTGGCTCCCATTTGAAGTGATTGTCTCATCCGGTCTCCTTGGTACTGAAATTGCACAGTAGGGTGGGCTGGCATTCTTAGGTAAAGAAGCAGAATTATTGGCATGCCCCCATGATGAGCACAGAAACATGGAGGAACATTAGACTTTTTAAAATTATTATTTTTCTGAGGAGGGAGAACCAGTGTGAATTGACCTTAGAAGGCAGGATGAGACACTGAGTATTGACCAGCGAATGGATGTTGGTTGGCTGAGAGTTCTCTGTGTTCAGCTACTGGCCAAAACAGGCCAACACTGATTAGCTCTTCTCTACAATCTCTATAATCTTATGTGCCTACAATCATGTCTTGGTGTTGAAAATAGTCAAAACAGTCCAAATCAGCCTTAGGCAAACTGGAATCAGAAAGGTTGGCAAAAAAAAGCTTGGTTGACTAGAAATGTCCTCAGCCTTCTAGAAAATTAACTAGAAAGTTAATTTGAACTGGGTCAGCATCTGCCAGCATTGCACATCCTTTGAAGTACAGATTCTTCAGTCAAGCTCTGTTCCAGGAAACGTCTGGGACATTGTGACTGCTTTGTAAATTGTGGAACAGCTTCACTCCTTGCTGCATAGACCACGTAAGAATTTGTAAGACCAAGTAAGAATCACACTCCATTAGCATTGGCTCCCATGGGGTCTGTTCCTCACATAACACTTTTTTTCATTATTGGAATTGGGGGGGGGCTTGAGGGCTACACCCTGGGTGAGAGCCTAAAGGAGAGTAGCCATCGTGGTTTGTTTGTGACTCAGTGCCTGGAAGAGGAAGGCAGCCATTTCTTCTGCTTCAAGTCATGAAGGGATCTGAGGATACTAGGGCAGCCAGAATGGACACATGTCCAAAGTTCTCGTAGCCTTTTTAAGATTTTGCTACACTGCCTCCTGGAGTTTCAGACAAAGACTGAAGAGACTTTTGGATAGAAAGTCTTGGCTATAATGGGAATTGTTTGGATTTTACAATGGTTTAAATGTTACAGAGGCTTTGACTTTCTAGTCCAGCCCTTGATGGCATTTGAAGGAGAACAGGACTTTGCCCTAGTTTTGGGGTGGTTGGCTATTGTTTTACCTTCAACTGCCTGGTAAGAGCAGGGGACTTGGGAGTGGGGTGGATGGTTAGGGGGTTGGGGGGAAAGGTGGTGTGGTTTGTGCTTAAAAATACTGAATGCCTGTCAAAAGCATCCTAGTACCAATCATCTGGCATGGGAGAGAATATATAACTTAGTCGTGTAAATAGGACCCTTAACCATGATGGAGAAGGGCAAGGGCCAAGGATGAGGAGAGAATGGGGGGTGGTTAGGGGCAGGTAGAAATATTGTGATGGTTATGGGCAATGAGATATAGGGCTGGAGCTGAGGAGTGGGCTACTCACAGAGAACACAGGCTCGATGTATTGTATTGGTTCTGGATCCTGACCCCCTGTGGCCATCCCTTTGGGTGGCTCTGGACTCTGGCCAGTGTTCTTGAATACCACGTTGGCCTCTAATAAAGCCCTAATCCTAACCCTCACTTAGGGTTTAATCCTAGCTGAGAGGGCCAACTTGGTGTGTATTACTAGGACCTGGCTGAGGATGGAGAGGGGATGTGGCACCAGCTGTGACCCAGGGCTACGCTGAGAGGGTTGCTATGGTTTTTTGGGAGACTGAGGGTTGTCAGTGGTGCTGCCCCATAGATAGCTGGATATGAGACCCTACTTAAGAGGTTGGACCTTAGGGATCAGTTGGGATTGCTGGTACCAAGTTCCCTGCTGTATAGCAGCCTCCTTGCCCATGCTGCTTGATGCCATATCTAAATTGGCAGTGAAGTTCTCCAGTCTTATGGTCCTGGGGGACTTCAACCTGCTCTGCTTGGCCATAGCATCAGAGGTGGATTGGGAGTTCATAGCCAGACATTACAGACCCAAACCACATGCCGGCCCTGGTCTTTGTCTCGAGAGAACGGCAATGTGATCTGCCATTGGGTATATTACCATCAATCCCTTGTCATGAACAGATCATACCCTGTTAACCCTAAGTTTACTGCAGCATACCCCTTCTGTAGGAATGCTAGACCTATTCAAAAAATCTGCTCCAGGTACCTGATGGACCCAGTTGGGTTTCAGATGGAAGGGGATTGTCTCTGAGGCTTTGATACATGGAATGAGGCAGTGATGGTGGCCTTAAGTTGGATCGCACCTATGTGGACTCACTGTGTGCAGGCCCAAGTGTACTTAATGGTTTACTGAGAACCTCCGGAGGATGAAGCAGCAGAAGAGATACTTCTGCTGATTATACTTAATTGTATTTCTCTGCCCCTGCCACCTAAGTGAAGCTGTCGAGGTTCTGTCCCAGTTTCTAGACACTGTGGAGGTCTGGATGCTGAAGAACAGGCTTTGGCTCAAACCCTCTGAGAGGCTATAGATTTTGGGCCTACAGGTCCTGGAACTGGAGAAATTTCATCTTTGACTCTGGGCATGACTATCCTGCTTGAGTTCAGTATGCACTTTGGGAGTCCTCCTGGTCTCAAAGCTCCTGCTTGAAGAGCAGGTGGCAGCTGTGACCAGGAGGAACCTTTGCACAATTTCATCTTGTGCATTGACCCATTCCTGGATCATAGGGACCTGCTCATGGTCACTCATGCCTTAGTAACCACCCAATTGGATTATTGCAATGCCCTCTGCATGTGGCTCCCTTTGAAGAACATCCAGAAGCTTCAATTCAGAATGCATTGACATGGGTAATTATGAGTATTCCTTGTTGCACTCATGTAAAAGTTCTACTATGTGAACTGCACTGGTTCCCTGTAGGATTCCGGGTACAATTCTGAGTGTTATCACCTATAAAGCCTTGCATGGCATAGATCCGGGTTATTTGCAGGACCACCTCCCAAGGGTATCTGCCTATCCCATCCCACATGCTTCAACAGGGAGGGCACACTCTGGGTCCTTTCTCTGAAACAATTTCATCTTGTAGGATCAGGAGCCCTGTATATGTTGGCTCTGATTCTGCAGGCTTTTAGAAAGGCAATTAAGACCTGGCTCTTTCCCCAGGTGTTTGGGTCATGATGAGTGGAGTTCCTATTAGCAGAACTCCTATTTGGTAGGATACAACACATTTAATTCTGATCACCTTATATTTGTTTTTAGTGGCATATGCTGTTTTTCTTTGGTATTTTTAAGTTTTGTATACCACTCAGAATCATATTGAGTTGGGCAGCCATATAAATGTAATAAACAAACTAATTAACCCATTTGGTGGATTTGTTTATTTAGACCAGGGTTTAGAGCAGGATAGCTAATTGGCAGCTCAGGTGTCATAGCAATTTCTTGATAGCCCTGTCAAATTTTAATCACAATGATAAAAAGTTTGTAGATGCTCATATAAAAAGAAAAATGTTTTCAAGATATGTAAGAGTATCCTCTACTTCAGTGATAGATCTCTCTTGTTGATTCTGGATATAAGTAATTTTTCATATATATATTTATATATAAAATACTATGTTTTACTTATCAAAGTTGTATGCCACCACAATCATAGGACTCTTGGTGGCTAACAAGATACAAAAATACAATAAAGTATATAAAAAAATAAGCACAGAATAGATAAAACCTAAATAAAATATATACCATCAGTCCCCAAAAGCCCTCCAGAAATGCTCTAGTCTTCAGCCTTTTCCTTTTTTTTTTTTTGTCTATCATTTTTATTAAAACTTTTAAACAAGAAGATAAAACCTAATACAAACTAATATAAAGTAAGGAAGAAAAAAGAAAAAGGAAGAAATCAAAGAAAAAGCAAAAAGTGCAAGAAAAGGAAAGGAAAGGAAAACAGCTTGAAAAATAGGAAAGAAAGAAAAAAGATATGAAGAGGCGGCTTCTGATATTCTCCATAGCAGTTATGAGTACAAATATATTTTAACCTCTCTCTCTACAGTTACATCACATTACTCTTCTTTCTATAATCTATCCTATTTAATCAAAACCATAAATCACAAGTTCATTTTTTAAATTTTTATGCAAAAGGTCCATAAGAGGCTTCCAGTCACCAATAAATGTAGATAATGTCTTCTCTCTAATCAAAGAAGTCAATCTATCAATTTCAGCAAAATCTGTCAACTTCACCAACCATTCCTCCATAGTAGGTAGTCTTTCCATCTCTGTGTATATAGTAATCTCGCTGCAGTAATCATGTATTGAAATAATCTTCCATGGTTTTTTTCTAACTGTTTATCCATTAATCCTAAAAGGAAAAATTCTGGCTTAAGTTGAATATTAATCTTTAAAATCCTCTGTATCAGTGTGTTGTATTTGAATCCATTTTTTTTTAGCTTTTTTACATGTCCACCAAAAATATGATAAAATGTCCCTTCATGTTGTTTATATTTCCAATATATATTTGAAATGCCTTTATACATTCTAGATAAATTCTCTGGCATCATGTACCAACGACACATCATTTTATAAAAATTCTCTTTGAGATCATAACACAATGTAAATTTCAACCCTTTTAACCACATATTTTCCCGTTGATCCATCTGTATATTATAACCAAAATCCTTAGCCCACTTTATCATACTTTCTTTAACCTGTTCTTCATCTGTTTCAAATTTCAAAAAAGTTTGTACATTTTAGCAATTACATGTTCATCATCAGTACACAGTTGTATTTCAAATTCTGTCTTACTTTGCTCTACACTATAAGTCTTTTTATCCATTTTAAATTTTTCAAGTAATTGTACATGGGAAAACCATTGACAACTATATCCTTCTGCTATTAATTGCTCTCTTGATTTCATTTTAAATTCCCCTTGATAGTTTTCCAATAAGTCCCAGTATGTCAACCATTTATCTTTGTCTGCCAGTTCTCCTCTATAATATGCTTCTTGAGCTGAGATCCATAAAGATGTTTTCCAAAAGGGAGGCAATGTTGGAGACAGACAAATCTGCAATGTCTTAGTGCAACCTTCACCAACCTGGTACCCTCCAGATATGTTGGGGCTATAATTCTGAGTCTTGAACATTCTGTTTGGCTGCCATGACTAATACTGCTGCAAACATGAATTAAGTGTAAGGGGCTGGATGGAAAAACAATGGCACAAGGAAGCTTCCTATGTGTGAAGTACTGTGCAGATCTCATCAATGCACCACATGTTGGCTTGTTATCTTTTATTAAAGCTACATGTTATAGGCTAGTAAATAAATGAAAAACACATCAAGCAACTGTGAGAGGTGAAGATGGAGTTGGGCATCTTTTTCCATCTCCAACGTAATCAACTATGTGTGCTGTTTTAAACAGGGATGTCTCGTGTAATCAAATCCAGACCATTGACAGAAACGCATTTGAACCTGTTCCATTTCTGCAATTTATGTAAGTCATTAAACATAAAACAGTCTAAACCATGGTGGAAATTGGGAAAGGAGGCAATTCTCTGCTGTTGCCCTGTGGAATATTCTCCCCCCAGGGGTGAGGCAGGCCCCCATCCTCCTGGCTTTTTGGAAAGAACTGAAGACCTGGCTCTGCTGTCTCGCATGGGGCAAGAAGAGCCATAACCAACCCTGGGGGTGGCTGGCACCATGAGGATGCTCCCCGAGCCTAATCATTTTACCATCAATCTTGAAAGATGTTTATTATTTATAGGTCTATTGTTTTATTGTATTTTATTTAATATTTATCTCAGAGTGGATCAAGATTCAGTCCTAGGCTTGATTGTCAGTGCCAAACCTGAGTCCTCAGAAGTGGGAAAACACTAAAGTGCCTTTGTGGAGTTACAGGGCTTATTATGAGCCTGAAATTCCCAGAGTCAAGACTATATTGCTTGCAGGGTCTTCCAGCAGGTCTATATGCACACTTTTGCCCTTTGAATCATGAGTTCTGAACAGTCCTATTAAGTTATGGCACCCCAACCCAAAATATGCACTGGAGCTGCTGACTGGAGAACTAGTATGGTAATGGAGGGAGCCTGGAGTGTCCAGAAGGTCAGAGTGGTAGTATCCAGCTACTTCATTAGAAAAAGCAAGAAATCAGCCTCATATTTGGCTGCAGTGATTTCATGCAGCAATTCTCACATCCCCATTCAACAAGGAGAAAAAAAAGATCCTTTTTGGTCTGCCTTGTTTTGTGTGTTGTTTATTTTATACAATGGAAGATGCCCTACATAGCTCTCTTGTTTCTGTTTCCTTTCCAGCAATCTCAGTGGCAACCTTATTGAGCGGATAACGCAGGGGGCATTTCAGGCCTGGCACGGGATGCAGTTTCTATTCAAGCTGTAAGTGAAAGTGAGACTCTTTCAGATAGTGGGTGAGACAGCCCATTGCTAGCACCAGGGCACAAATTCTCCATTAATGCCTGCAGAAGATTAATAGGTTTGTTTGATGGATTTCAATCCCAAACACTATTCTTTTGAAAGATGAGGAGATACAATTTCTGAGAAGGGACCGCCAATAGGTCTCTAAGTTGGTCTCCAAGCCAGATGTCTTGATCTCCAAGCCCACCAGGACATATCTGGGATATTTTTTTTACAGTGTTGTTATGACCTCACATCCCACTTTTCCACTAACACTAGTTCTACCTATATTTATTCCACATTTGCTTTCTTGGGGTAAGAACAGACTAGCGTTTTGTGGTAAATTCTTACTTATATATACAAATATATAACAGCTAAACACAAGTGGAGACTCATGGCACTATTAGCATAGCCGAGATCCTTAAATTCATTGCTGCCACAATATATCCTTAAGACAGCTCCCCAAAATAGCTTCAGAGCTTTAAGGCAGCCCTCTGAGATGCGAAGCATTTCCTCAGAAACTCTTTTTTCACACAACGTTCACACAACTCATCCTTAGAGGAGGGAGGGAGGAAAAGATGCCTCCCTACCCCACTTTTTTTTAACCTTAGTTGTAACAAAAAGAAGGTACAAAGCGCTGTAGTAAATTATTAGCAAATTTAAACAAGCGAGCCTTAGGTAACCTATACTAACAGGAACCTCATTCTCAAAATCACTAAATGGGAAGGTGTTCCGTGAGAACATCTGGATTAATCTCTCAACCTTAGGTAGTATTAAGTTAACTGTTTAGTCTGTAAAATGTGAGAAAAATTTTTTGGTGGAATAGGATCATTTTGGGAGAAGACTGAAAAAAGAATTTAGGCACAGGTTCATGTTTGTCTTATGAACAAAAAGAGGCAATAGGGACGGGGCTGGTGAGTTTGTGGTGCTGAGCAGCTGCATTTAAGGAAAGCTGTTCACCTTATTGGGTGAAGCAGTGCTGTTTTTCTGGCTGGCTTGGCTGTGTATTTGTTTGTTGAGCACATGGTCTGATGGGAGGGGTTATGGCTGCAGCTGATTGTTGATCACATGATTGGCTTCTGGGTGGAATTAGTTCCTCAGCCAAGAGCTTAGTCCCAGGCTGCGCTCTTTGTAAACAGGAGAAACAGGTGGAAACTCACGTCCAGAGTGAACAGGAGGGCAAACAGGAAGAAGAGTTTTTGCAATTGAGTGGCCTTAGAAATTGAATAAGTTAAATAAATATACATAAATATGAGGGAGTGTAATGGGGAGGAGCACATGAGCTTCCTGCCTCCTGAGACTAAGTGTCAAGAGAAGTTTAGCAATTGCGCCAGAGCTCCAGACTCTACAGAAGTATAACATAGGAGCTATTTTGATTTGAGCAATTCCTAAATAACTCATAGAGTATGAAGGTAGAAAGCTGGCAGGTGAGATGGTGTTTTCCAGTTCATTGCATATAGAGCATAAAAAGTTTTAGTGTATTTTTAAGGTGAAATGAAATGCTTAGAGAACCAAAGAGGTATCTGGAGAAGACTTACATAGTGGGTTATGTTTGCCCTACTCCCATGATGACAGTTTTGTTGTCAGAAGAACAAGAGCCTTGGACAAGAAGGAAAATATTTTAAGGCTTAGTAAGAGCTGTGTTCTTTTAGAAAGGACTGAGCTCCTGGGTGATAAACCCACATCTTCTTGTACCACGAATGTGAGTGATTTGATAATTAGCAACACAGTTAGGCTAATATGAAATTGGTTTAATGGATGCAATGAATATCAGGAGATGAGAAGGAGACAAAAGGCTGTGAAAAGGGCTCACATCAAAAAGACCATGGGGTATAAGTGTTTCTGTACTAATGCTAGAAGCCTCCAAGTCAAGACGGAATTAAAATACTTGGTTTTAAAATGAGGACATAAATCTAGTAGATATGCTCATTCCTGGATCTGACCTTTATAAAAAGGACAGGAAAAGGTGCACTGGAGATTCTGTTGCTCTTTGTATCAAGGACAGCATAGTCCAATATGCTAGAAAGAAATGAAAGACCAGATTTCTCCATGGAATCACTATGGATGGAAATGTAAATTACTGTATATCCAGGGATATATTATCACCCATCTAATGAAAATGTTGATGGTAATATTGAGATGGTAAATGAAATAAGGAAGGCATGCAGAGGAGAAGTTGTAATCGTTAGCCTCTGAGATACTAGGTATTCATGCTCAGGCCATGACAAAGAAACCAAATTTCTAGATACCCTTAATGACTTTCCTTAGAATAATTGGCCTTGGAACCCACTAGAAGGAAGACTAATCAAGATTTAATCCTAAAAGATAGCTATAATCTAGCACAAGATGTTATGGAATGTGTAGGAAACAGTGGTCATAATCCAGTTATATTTAAAATACATGCAAATAAAAAAAATGCTAGCAGGCCCCAATGCAGTCATATATGACCACAAAGGAGACTGCTCAAAAATGAGGGGACGGATTAAAAAAGAGGCAAAGTTCCTTATCAAGGGCTTTTGAATAAACTTGGTGATAAGAGGAACCTGTTCATTAACTGAGTGAAAAACAGAAAGGGAAGAATAGGACCAAATGGGCAATAATCAGAAATAGATTTAGAACACATGAAAGATAGCATTTCATCTAGTGCAAAATAAACCTGTCAAATTCCTTACCATAAGATTTGCCAAGTACTAACTTGGACAGCTTTAAAGGGAAATGGAGGAAAGATCCATCAAAGGCTATTAGTCTTCAAGATTCAGTGAATGCTTGTAGAAAGAAGTGAAAGTTGATTGAGTAAAGTTGACTGGAAGTGAGAACTAGGTATGTCAGATAAATATAAAAAGTTGAATGCAGTGGGAATGGGTTCCTTAAGAAGTGTGTATACTTCTTGAAAAGAAAATATAAGGCCCATAATGAATTGATGATGAACGAACATGGATTAAACACAAAAGTGATTGGACAGTATGAAAGAGGTACAATAAGTTGAGATGGTTTGGTCATATAGGGAGACTGAATGAGGACTGAAATGCAAAGCAAATACATGAAGGAAAATTGAATGCACTGAGTGGAAAGGAAAGACTATGATTGGGTGGAGTTCATGAGGTCCTCAAAAGAGAGAAGTGACAAATTTAAAGGCAGCATATGGGCTAGGCATGAGCGTGATGGAAACAAGGATGCTTGGCAGGGTAGGAAGATATGGAGAGATATAGTAAATGGGGCTGATATAAACTAGATTTATGTTTTCTTTTCTCAGGTCTCCTGCCTATAATTTCTTTTGCTTACTACTTACTAGTAGGATTAGTAATTAGTAATGTTATTTAAGGTCAAAGACCAAAGGAAAACTTGAGTAACGTTGCTTTATACACTGCCTGAATTCTTCTTGTTTTGTTCTCCTACCCTCAACAATGCCAAACTGATAACCAGCTCTTTTGTCCTTCAGGGTTCTCAACCATAATCCACTGAGAGTCATTGAAGATTCCTGTTTCTACAAATTGCCCTCACTGAAATTCCTGTATGTGTGAAGTTGCTTTTAGCTGTATTAAGGGTTTGTTTGCTCTGGAAAAAGTCTTCAGTTTTTTTCCTGGGTTGGGTTGGGTTATTATGTCTGAAGATCAGTGTGGTCCTGGATTAGGGTCAGAAAGACCCAGGTCCAGATTTCTATTCAGCCATGAAATTCACAGCATAGCCATGAACCAGTCACTAACTCTCAGCCCTTTAAGATTGTCCAGATCAGGAAAAAGATTCCACAAGAAGACTGGAACTATGCTTTATTGAGACTCTCAGGTAAATTGCATTGAGCTTTCAAGGAAAAGATGGCATCTGTTCAATAAATAAATCCTTCAACGGTTATTTTTATGAGGAGAAAACAAAATGGGCATGAATTATATGTATTATATGTGTATATGTAAAGAAGAGGAAAAAAGAATAGGCAAACATTGTATATATTATATTTGCAGTTGGCAGCATTTGATTACATTAAAGACAGATTTTAATCCTGGATACTGGTTCTCATACCTAGGCTGGAATTTATGAATGAATACATGGAACTGCACGGAGTTGCTTTAATTCTATATTTGCTTTTGTGTCAGCACAGAACAAAGGGAATCATCCCTATATATTTTGTACCCACTGGAAGACTTTAGGCCAAGTTGATTTTTAAAGCAAAATTTTAAAATAAGCATTGGAGCTCAAGTCTTGATCAAAATCAACAGTATTTTTATTTAGTGTGTGCTTCTATCTAAGCATATTGCAAGACCTATTTATTCCCCTATGACAAAAGCCCTATGAGGTAGATGGGCTGAGAGTGAGTGACTGGCCCAAAGTCACCCAAGGAGTTTGGACAGCTGAGGGGAGACTAGAACGTGGGTCTCCCCACTCCCAGGCCAGCACCTTAACCACTGTATCTGATGCTCTTGATATGGAAGCCAGTGCCAACCATCTCAGTGATGGACTGTGATTATTTGATAGCAAGGAAAATCTCTGTGTGTACTTCTATTCTTTCTAAGGATTGCTTGATCTGTGGCAGGACTGATCTGGCATTTGAAACTCAGCTCCAGGGCTGTCATGGCAACTTTGCATTCCAACTCTGCGTGATATAGAATTGTACACAGTATTGTTCAGCAGCAACAATCCCTTTCTTACCTCATTACAGCAATTGGTCAAATCATTTTATTAATTTAAAAATTAATTTTACTTTTAAATTACCTTATTGTTATTTGTGTCCCATCCTTTCCTCAAGAAGCTCAGAGCAGTGGACATAATAATATTGATTCATTTTATATCTGAACAATCCAGTCAGATAAACTGGGTTTATAACACTTAACCTGGTTATTGAACATGAAAGATGGCTACTGAACATGTATTGGGTTTGCACAGTGCAATGAACCATAAACAGGCTGGAATCATACATCATGCTAAGCCACAAAAGCACAAAGTAAGATTTAAAATAACCTAATTTAGCAGATTCCGTGATTCTAGATGTTAGGTCTTTAACTGACCTAGTTAAGTGTGTTGTAAGCCCAGTCATGGACTAGGCCAAGAGATAACCAATGAGATGAGGTCCCCCACTCAACTTCATAAATTTATTCTCCCTCGCTCTGTTCTGCAAGTTGTCTATCTCTCCCTCTCTCTGGAAAAGTCTGCATGTCCTTTTTTGCAGGGACCTTGGTTCTACAGAAATATCCCCAGATATACTAGAGAATTTGCTCAAAATCTCCTTGAAGTTGAAAACTCTGTAAGTACCTCTGACCTTTTTCTGTAGCTTCCAAGGACAAAATGGGAAGAAGGCCATGTTATTGTTCTTCCCCCTTCTCTTCCTTCTTTTCCCTTTCATACTTCTGAAAATGGCAATGCAAGTATTGTCATTTTCTTCATGGGGAGCATTTGCTATGGACGTGGTGGTTGTCCCAGAACATTTCCTTTCCATATTGCTTCCCAAAATACGTTGGAGTTCCTTAGAAACCTACCAACTGAAGTTTATTAATGTCACATCAAAACAGGCAGCTAAGATTCCCTAGCTTGTACACTGTTGCCACATATGTACAATATGAATTGCAGGTAAGGGGGCAGAGACATCCAGGAATTGCTCCATTAATGTGCACTGATAGGGAGTTTAGGATTAAAAGTGCCATCAAATATTTGCAGTACGCATTGGCTTTGTGGCAGATGTGCTTAGAGGTCTGGAAAAGCCAGTTAATATGGTAAGTATTCCCTGAGAACAATAAATTTGCAAACCACAGTATGAGTCATGAATTCATAGAAATATAGAAAGCATAAAAATCTGTCTTAACTAAATGACCTACAATAGTACTGGCTATACCAGCTTTCCCTAATTTGGAGCCTTCCAGATATGTGTACTTCATATCTGGCTGGCTTATCAAACAGTTTCAGAGCTCACTAGGAGGGAAAAGTTGGTTTATATTGGTTGTGCTTGTAGGACATTGAATTACAGACAAGCCAATCATATTTTAGCCTAGTATGTTACACTTTAGAATTGACAACGAAGACGTTGAAGTGGTAGACAGCTCCTGCCTTTTAGGATCAACTATAAACAGTAAAGGAACTAGCTGTCAAGAAATATGCCACAGACGAGCACTTGGTGAGGGAGCAATTAAGGGCTTGGAAAAGATGTTCAGATGTTGTGATGTGTCTCCATCTACAAAGATCAAGTGAAAGTTGGACTTTGAAGAAACAAGGTAGAATATTGATGCTTTTGAACATTGATGTTGGAGAAGATTCCTGAGAATATCACAGATAGCCAAAAAAAGAAATGGATCATAGAACAAATCAATCCAGAATTCTCACTCAAGGCATAAATGACCACGCTCAAATTATATTTTGGATTCATTATGTGAAAACCCAGCTCCCTTGAGAAGTCCGTAATGCTGGGAAAAGTGGAGGGAAAGAGAAGAGAATGATCAGCAGGAAGATGAATAGACTAGATTACCGCAGTGATTGATGTATTGTTGGAAGACCTGAGGAGCCAGATAGGGACAGATCTTCCTGGAGAATAAGGTTGATAAGAGCTGACACCAACTTGATAGCAAATGATCAGTATTGTGCAAACCTAATCTGTGCAGTTGCTTTATGAGTCATGGTGTCATGTGAGCCCAGAAATTGATTTAATTAAGTCAACTCTGATTGAGTTTGCTGTGGAAGAATGTGCTGTGAACACAACCACTGACTGACAGTAGCTTTAAAGTTTTAAATGGGTCTTTCCCAACCCTACCTGAAATTATCAGGGATTTAATTGATGTGTACTTCTTTTTCCTTTTCATCTGTCACTACAAAGCACATTACAACTTCATCCTTTCCTCTCTACCCATTATGAACATTAAAAAAAGTTTCTTTGTGGAATTTCTGTTTTCTGACATAAAAATTTCAACATACAAAGCATATACTTTAGCCAAATGCTAAGTTCCTTTCTAGTTAAAAGGATCTCAAGAAGCAGGGCTGAAGAACTACTGCCAGTTAAAGTTAGGCAGAACTGGTGAGCTAGATGTACCAAGAATCTGATAAAGCCGGACTCCAGCAACATATTACCTCTGTTTCTGTAGCTGAATTCAAGAGCAGTCTCCAAGATGAAGTACCAGTCTGCATAAGTTTCTGGTGTGTGGAGAATCCCAGATACACAAGGCCCTAAGAAACTTTGGCCTCAATGCTTGTTTTCCTGCCTGAGCAAATTAACTCTAGTAATGAGGCCCTTCTCCTGATGGCATTTGTGTTAGCTATTTGCTTCTGGTCCTCTTGATTCTCTAATGCTACTTGGAAATGTAATATCTGACTAATCAGATATTCATACACTCCCATTCTGGGGTGCTCCTATCATCCTTGTTTGCTACTCTATCTTGACTCCTTATTACTTCAACCCAGTTCTGGGCCACATGGACAGAGAGATCTTTCCTTGTAATCCTGGAATCTGAAGGTCTAGAGCCTGATGACATTGACAAATGAAGAGGAAGCCAGCTTCCCATAGTCTCCAACAAGTAATGATTTAACCAAACCAAATACTTCCCTCATCACAAACTAGAATTACCTTGTAAAGCATGCGGGGGGGGGGGGCAGAAGAAAAGAGAGTTTTCATCAGGCAAAAGACTATCTGAAAAACCTAAAAGTCACCAATAGAAGTGAATATGCGTAGCTCAGGGTTGAACTGTGGAGTCCTTGGGGTTCTCTGAGCTTGGTTGTTTTCTTGCAAACGTTGCTAGCACTGAAGATGTTACCTAGCCAGGTACTGAAACGTTTGCAAGAAAACAACCAAGCTCAGAGAACCCCAAGGACTCCACACCTAAAAGTCAATTTCCCCAAACTGCTGCCTTCTAGAAGTGCTAAGCTACAATTCCCAACATAGTAGGGGAAGATTGTTCTAAATTGTGGCACCCAATTGAAAGGGCTAGATTGAACTTGGAAGTTACAGATCACTGTAGCTTGTAGAAGTAATAAAAGTTTATGAGGCCCTTGTCCTTTTTCATCCACAGTATCTTGCCTAGGAAGATGTCCTGCTGCCTTTGCAGAATTCAGGATGACATTGAAGTCTTGTGTGAGACTGTCAAATTGGATTGCACCAACAAGTGTGCCTCAAACATCACTCAGTGTGGTAGGCCAAAAGCAGTTTTCCAAAATATTTTATTTGTATCCATTCAGCCATTCCAATCCTTTCACAATCTGGATAGATTGCTTTAAAAAAAAAATCCAGTGATAAAACAGTGAGTGTGGGAGAAGTGAATGATTTATTTACAAATTAATGATTACATATTAAATGGGTGCATAAGTAAGCATTGGCATGCACCATAAAATTGACCTACAGCTGAAGCCAGAGAGTTGGTTTTTTTCCTTGAATTCTCTTGTCATTTCTGGCATCCAGTTCCAAATATCAACTCTTGGGGAAGTGATAAGCGCCTCCCATCTCTACTGAAAATATCTTAGATTGTGTCTTTGAGACTTGTCTCCTTGGAACCATTGGTCACTTAGTCCAGTACTCTGTTTCTCAGGCTAGGCAAAGTAGACTAGGGATCTCTCTCACTATTAGGCAGCTAAAGGCCTGGAATTCAGAATGCGTCTTCCTACTCCACCTTGTGACTTGTGATAACTGAGATGTCTCATTCTCAGGTTGTTTTTTTTTAACTTGAGTTAACAGAAAATAATAGAAACATAATTTAAAGGGCTTAATTTTTTATTTTAATCCATAGATTAGTGGTCTAGCCTTGCCCAGTCTGATGCCTTCTAGATAGACGTTAGCTAGGAATTCTGTAATCTGTAGTTCCAGTCTTATCTGAAAACACCACATTGGGGAAGGCTAACGTAATCTATGGATGAGACCTGAACTATTGGATCTATGTAATGACCATATACTGTCTGTAGGGAACTCTACTTTTTTAGTTAGAATTCCACCATGGGTAGCTATATGGTTCTAGTTTTCAAGCAGATTGTCACCACAATCTGTGTTGGGCCAAACAAGCCAGTTATATAGCATCTTCTCTTGGAGGCTGATGCCTATTTATCCAAATGTCAAGATGATCTCCTGTACTGATTACTCATTATTTAACATCCATTGTATAACCTGATACATGTCTACTTAAAAGTAATTGGAACCAATCCTGGGTAAATGGGTACAGGATTGAACTGCAAACCACATCTAACTCTAATTGGATAAGCTGATTTATACCCAACAAACTCAGTTATCTGTTTTACCCATACAATTTGCTACCTGTAGACATAGGTTAATTCTGATTTCTTTTTTTTTCCCCCTTTTCTTTTTCTTCTTTCTGAGCAGAGAAAGAGGAACTTTTGGGAAGTATGCAAGATGAAGTAATGAAAGTACTAGAAACCAGGAAACTGAATGCCAGCAGCATACTGAATATTGTGCCTGAAAAACTTTTACACCATAATGTTACTCTGTCACTCTTGGTGACCCACGGACACTCTCACTTAGGTATCCGTTTTCATAAACACAGCCCGCACCTTTTCAAATCAGTCAGTCGGTTAAGTAAACTAATACCTGATGAATATGTGGATGTGAAGTGGGCTGATAAAAATGAGCTGGAGAAGCTGTACAAGTTAGCCAATTTGCTACAGGTGGCTCTCAAAGCAAAAATAGCAGAAAATGAAGAGGAGACTCAAGAGATAGAGGTTCAGAAGGAATTGCCTATAGAAGTTTCGGAAGATTCTGGGGACATCATCCTGATGACTAAGAGCCATCTGAAAAGGATAAAGAGCCATCTGAAAAGGATAAAGCGAGATCGCTGGCTTGGAAAAACTCCAAGGGGAAAAGAGTCATTTCTTAGGTTGCACAGAAAAAGGCGAGAATTTGCAAAAGCCACCAGACAATTTGCAGGAGAGCAAGGAAAACTAGATTCACATATCATGGCTGAAAGATGGAGGAAGCTAGCAAGGGGACTAGAACCTCAGAGGTTTGCTTTGCCTAGCAGGCTTCATCAAGCAGCGCTTCATTCCCTACAGAAGCGCTCCATTTTCCATCTTCCAACTAAGCTGCCTCCCTTGACTGCTTCTGTCATAGTAGACGATGGTGCTGAGGACCTGGCAGGTAAAGTGGTCATTATTCTGAAAGCTGCCAACAGATCGGCAAAGCCCAGCAATGTAAAGCACAATCTGATCAGTGAGCAGGAGAGAGAGGAAGATACTCAGAATGAACAAAACACAGAGAATGTTTTGGTGAAAGGTCTAGAGCCTCAGGTATCAAGTAAGGAAAACCTGCTCAACCACTTAATAATTGGAGGGAGCAAATCTAGAATCCCTACTGATGACTCGGAAACTTTGAATGAACTCTCACCTGATATAACATTGTCCCATGAGACACATTGGGAGCATCATGAACAGACCACCTCTGCTCCCCCTTCACTTGATTTTTTGCCAGCCACTGATGACTATTTGCTTCAGGGTGATCTCTTTGAAGCTGAGTTGAACAAGCGGTTGGCATCCCTCATCCCAAATGAGCCTGTCAGGAACCTCATCTCCCATGTGATCCGTATCCTGAAAATGGACTGCACAGAACCCACTATCCAGATGGCTTGTGCTAAACTCATCTCTAGGACGGGCCTTCTCATGAAACTCTTCAGTGAGAGAGAAAACATCCAGGAGGCATCTGCTCTGTGGAAGTCCTACTTTTGGCCTGCTAAGAATGAAGCCAACATGACTACAGCAAGCTCCAGAAAAATGCAGAAACCTTCTGATGAGGTAAGGCCAAACCTAGATAAGCAGTCCTAGCACGTGTACTATTAGGAGCTTTACCAACATCTGGTTATCTGGATCTTTTTGTTTTTCCAGGAGACCAAGTTGGTGTAAATTAACTGCACATCCATTTCTGTAAAGGCAGTTACTGTTTTTGAGTAAAAGCTATATTGGGTCGGGCTGTTTATAGTAATGTGTATGTGTGAAGACCACTCCTATGCCTGACTCCTATGTCTATACTCAGGAAGGTGACATGTATGTATGTAAGGTTCTTACAGATGGTGATCACCATCTGGGGAGAATGGCATATAGCACAAAGCCAAAGTAACTGAAGAGTGAAAAGCAAAGAAAAAGAGGTTCATCAGAATTAAATGGGTTGTGATGGAGAAGAAACAATTCAGAGACTTCAGATACAATAATATGGTTTTAAGAAAACTGGATTGGTAGAACTATTGTTGCTTTTAAAGTGTTAGGTGGTCTGTGTCAGACAGGCCCAAATGCAATTTCTTTTTTTCTGGGAAGGAGAGCTTTTATATGGATTAGAAGAACCACAAGAGTCTACAATATTTCTTTTATAAAGATGATAGCTGGCCATTAAAGAAAGTGGATGCACTGAATGACAATAGTTTAGTCAAATGTTCCCTGCATTAAAATGATAATGATAATGATGTATCATTGTCTCTGGCCTAAATTATCAACTTAATTTCTGCTTTTCAAATTTGACAGGCTATTTTAAAGGAACAAAAGGGATATTGTAAGAAAGAATGTATATCTGAAGATTTTTTACACTAAATGTTGCAAAAACTTCCTAAACAATAGAGATGAAAATGAAATTTAGGCAATAATATCATACATATTATCTGCATTCACATAATACTAAATAAGATTTGCTTTAATCATGTTTTTTTTTAATAATCCAGACACAGTATTGCAGATAAAAAAAAGTAATCATTGCTTGTTTACCTAATTCCTGCTATTTCTTTTTTTAAATATATGGTATCTCCCATGTCCTAGCAACAATAAGATTTCCCCCATATATATTTATGGGACTACGTTTTGTCAATGATTTATGAAGATTCGGAAACTTCAAGCTATGGGTTCAGGTTGTAGTTGTTGCCAAAAATTGCATAGGTGGGGTGATATGGGCATTCAAATTAAGCAAACAAATTCTAGCTTAGCATTATCTGAGTATCTATAGCTACTAAAGGGCAATCTGGTATATATATATATATGAGAACAAGTTGTCCTCAATATTGTTTAGTCAGGATGGAGAAAATGTTAAAATACCTGAAGGCCCATCTTCCATTTTCCTTCCCTTTGTCCAACTTTGCAGATAGCAAGGCAGGGAATTCCACAATATGGGTATGGCAACAAGTTGCTGTTGGCTATTTCGGTGACAGCGGTGATAATGGTTATTATTGCAGTAATTTGTCTGATTGAGGTAAGCTGAATTTTGTTTAGAGATCCTTATCTTAATTTACTAACCTACTGTATCTCAAAGTCCAGTAATGAGAGTTGGTAAGCTAAAGAGCCTCGGGGCACCCAGCTTCCTTCCCAGCTATGGCTGGTAAGGACAGCAGATGCTCCCCGGTCTTGAGAATTGAGGGGCTTGGATATAGGG